CCATCAAACTCAAATGCATGCACAACCAAAAATTAACTCCACACTGTATCGATTGTCGCGCAGGATAATCAGGACCGCGCTGCCCATTGCATCCAGCGGGGTGGGTAGTGATAAGTGGGCTACTGCTCAGATATCCCAACCTTTGATTAACTTTTTGTCATCCGTGCCCAACCCTCTCCCTTTACCCTTTCTTCCAACCCGTAACATCTCCTTTAGACAACTTGTTCGTCACTCGCCAAAGTTCGTTGTCAAGTAGCCCGGTAAGTAGTTTACCACGAAATAGACTGCATATTCTGAAGCCTCGTCAGCCACTGAATCTGGGGGCCTTCAACGTGAGGACTCTGATGCAGGTAGGTCAACAAAGCATGTCTGTCGCGTACAATGGACTCTGGGAATGGATGTCTGCAGCGTGTCGGAAACTCTAATTCAGGATCCAAGTACTATATGTCACTTAATTGCACCGGGGTTTTCTTCGAGGTTCTTCCTCCGCATGCCAATTGATGACGAAGCCCGTTCAGTAGGCCAGCGTGATGTGGGCATTGTACTGAATAAGATAGCCGAGGCCGCACTACTCGATTGAATCCTCGTCAACAGCCCCTTATGTGCGATACGGCTCCAAGGGTCTATCAGCGTCCGGAAGGGAAGCAACACCAAAAGGTGTTTATTCATCATTTCAGCATATGTTCCGACGAACTGCAGTTCTGATGCACAAAAAGACGAATTTTGTGATAAACTCACCGAACTCATTCGGTTGAGTCGAAGCTCTGATATAATTGTTCTCGTAGGTGATTTTAGTGCTCAAGTCGGAAAACTGGCCGCATCGGAAGCTTGCCTAGGCGGTCATTGTGCTCTACTCTGTCAGTGAACAGACAATGGCGACCGACTGCTTCAGTTCTGCGCAGCTCATCATCTGTTCCTATCCAGCACCAACTTCCGACACAGCTCTCAATGGACAGCAACGTGGCTCTCAAATTCAACTGGCACACTAACTCAGATCGACCACATAGCAGTCACCGTTGGCGTGGCTCAGTACAAAACTGCAGGTCCTATTGGACCACCTGCGTTGAATCTGATCATGCGTTAGTTTTGATGCAGTTCACTCCAACTCACTGCTTGCAGAAAATTCCGTCAAACTCGATTGGCAGATCATCGCTTTTCTGACCCAGCCGTTTGTGCTCGTTTTGAATTAGAACTAGGGCAAGGGCCAAACGCATTGCGGGGGTGGTAGTGTAGATGGACAATGGGATCAGATTTGCCGAGTAATGCACTCCGCAACGAACGCTGGGTGTGGATCTGAAGCAGAAGCAGGCCCGAGGCATTGGATATCTGGTCAGTCAGTGGCACTGATGGAGAAAAAGCGGCAAATCCCAACCACCCGGGATCAAGGCAGGGTTAGGTGGCATCTACAACGTCATCTCACGAGGAGCCTCAAGAAAGACCGTGAGAACTGGTGGGCAACGAT